GCTACGCAATTAGCAGTTACACAAATGATAATTGTGTACAGGCTCTCCGCCATGTATCGCGATGAGCGCGGTACCATGTTACTGGTTCTCGTCTTCTCCGTCGCGGCAACAGTAACTTCCATATCCATTCTTTCCATTTCGGTGACTAGAATAGGAGGTACGTAGCGGGATCTGTTACAGTCATGCTTCTGACACACCGACCTCGTGCAGTCACTGGCCATCCATTCCCCGGCATGGACGCATGCTTCGACGTCTCCTCAGACAACCTCCTGTGGTTCACTCCGCTGCCGGTCATTCCATGGGAGATTCTGGCGTGCTTCTTGGCTGTCCGTAAAGCTCAACACCACCGCGAAATGACCCGAATGGCTGGTCAAACTTCCGGGTCGCGCATTCTTGGGATCCTTTCCCGAGATTCCGTCATTTACTTTGCCGCGTGAGTAGGCGGTCTATTCAGTGCTTTGCGCTCCAAAATTGACCTCGACTCATAGTATCCTTGCCATCGACATCTCCATGGCTGTGATCTGGCGCACGGGTCCTGTGCGGAACTTCATCGGTGTCACTGCTTGCGATCCTCACTCATGCACATCCAGATTCAACTACGTCGCGTCTTTGCAAGCCTATTCTATACAGCATCTTCGATGTTGGGGAACCACCTGCTTTTTAATCCCAGGAAGACAGACGAGCGTATGAGGCAAGGGAGCAAGTCCAACTCCGCTTACTCACGTTCTTTACCGCGCTTCACTGCCCAAAAATGAGAATCTGTGTTTTCGAATTCGAAGGGAACTACTGTTGGTTGGCTCCGGCCACTTCCTGTCTCGGTTTTCTGCGTGAACTGGCAACACCAAGTCATATCTCGCCCGGCAAAGCGCACAAAACTATGGAACTGACAGAGCAACGTAAAGGGGGTTGTAGCTCAGTGGTAGGAGCGGGAGGTATTCAGAGCAGAGCAAGGCAAAAAGCTCTTGGAGTTGCAGGGGATTGAACCCTAGACCTCGGGAAAGCAAGCTTAAATGCAAATCACGCGCTCTACCACTGAGCTACAACCCCCTTTACGTTGCTCTGTCAGTTCCATAGTTTTGTGCGCTTTGCCGGGCGAGATATGACTTGGTGTTGCCAGTTCACGCAGAAAACCGAGACAGGAAGTGGCCGGAGCCAACCAACAGTAGTTCCCTTCGAATTCGAAAACACAGATTCTCATTTTTGGGCAGTGAAGCGCTGCGCCGCTTCCTCGACCTGCCGAGGGTGTACGCCCGCCACCTCTGGTATACTTACCAGGTGTGGGGCATTGATACCAAGGCTATTTTCTACGATACGTGCCATTCACGAGATTACTCCACTACGTTCCGCCTCGCTGAGACACGTTCAATGTACGAAACTGTGCCACGTCATACCCGCTCCCGAACAGAGTAGCTTGCTGAGCCGTCAGGGAAAGCCAGGATCTTGTCGACAGAAACGAAGAACTGGATGCGCCAACCCGCGCGAAGCATGAAGCTTAACCAGTTTGTGAAGCAAGCACGTGAACCCTCGGCAGAGAAGGCCACGAGCGGTCGTGATTGCATGTGTCACGGTCGGTATGAAGGAAATTAGAGTCAAAACATTATAGATACTTGTAAGTACAAGGACAAGATGCGGGGCGGTGCCGACGCCAGGAGCAGCACCTGTTCGTTCCTACCGTCATGGGCTCAGACCGAATCTCAAATGCAGCTCGCCATCACGATTCCTTCGCAAATTTGGCGGTGACGCGTCCGCTCTACCCCCGCGCGCGAGTCTTCGACGACGCATTATCACCGACAAAACCAAGCTAAACCAGTCTCGACGCCGACCGGAGCGTCCCGGCCGAGGTCATCAGTCGCAGTTGTCTGCAGATCTATAAAGTGAGGTGGAATTGTGATGTGCATGGGCATCTCTCGCGCTATGAGCCTCCACAACCCACCCCCGCGCTATAGCCTTCGTGTCGCAAAGCGCGCAGACGCTGCAACGCTTACAGACTTCAGTGAGTGTTTTCGGGGTATATACACGCTGGCAATGGTCTTAATGTTCTCGCAGTCATTTCAGCGCTTCCTTCCTTGTAAGATAGAATGGTCTACGGCGCTGGGTCGTGAGGCTTACAAGTCTCGCAGAACCGCTTCTTCGAGTCACCAGGCTATCCTCTCTGAAGTAACCAGGCTCATTTGCGACCCGTTCTCGGCATATCTCATCGTCTGCATCGGTCCGAGGGACAACACAATTATCGCTTGCACACAGTGCTCGATGTCGCCGGCCGAATTCGCTCGAAATCCCGGCGTTGGACGTCGTGCTCACTGTACTCTGATCGCCGACCTTGCGAGCGTCAACTGGCCGGGGATCATAGCGGACCTCCTTGGTCATACGACCCGCTACGCTGCGCAAACGTATAACGCGTCTGAGCTGGAGCTTCGTGCTCCTACGCATCAGACTGTTACAGAGGCTGTCGAACAACTCAATTCGAGCCGTTCCGTGCGTTGTGTTCGTGCCAGTTCGATGATTGGTCGCGGCGCACACTTTGTCGACTCGGCTCCGGATATGCAACTCTCTGTATCTTACTGTCTGACGGTACCTGCGAGGCTATAGCTTTAGGTGCGCTGTATGCTTGTACTTACTAGGCCGCGTGACGACTGCTCGATGATTTCTCCGAGAGTACTCCGGCGTTGAAGTTCCGCGGCGATCACACTCTCCGTTGACCTGATGCTTACTCGTGCCTTGTTGCCCGTGTAACATCCGCCTGACGACAAAGCTTGGAGCGGCAACTTAGCATATATGTGCTCTACGCAACGAAGGACGTTACTCAAGAGCATGCGCTCTTCGCCTGCCTGTTCACAGCGTCCTTCACACATCCGCACATTCTTTCCCCAGACCCGTACGCATATAACGCTGCGATGCTGCCATGCCGATGACGACCGGGAATCTTCGAAGCACTCCCACGGTGGCCTTTACTCTATTCGACGACGCGCTACGGGCGGCCCGAAGCTATCAGCGCGTCGCTATGGCGTCCACATGGAACATTGGAAGCGAGCCCAGAAATGTACAAAAGGCGAGCCTGCGAGGTTCCTCCTCCCCCATCTGCGCTCTCTCAGTTCGTCTTGACGGCGACTGTTTCACTTGCTTCCTCCCGTTCTTTCAATCTCTTCGCTCTCTTTTCGCACACTCTCGCAGCCAGTCTGCCAGCTCGCCAGTCGACTTCCCCTCCAAATCTTTAAAGCAATGGCCCGTTTTTCGACTCTCGTTGTTTTCGCTCTTGCTGCCCTCGCGTCGGCCGCGCCGTTGAAGCGCCGGCAAACGTGCACGGACGTTGAGGAGGCCGACGATACGACGGCGACTGCGCCTGTCGCGACTGTGGACGGCCTCCCGGATTTCAAGAACCTCCAGTGCGTATTCCCTCCTGCCCTTGCCCTGGTGCTGAGACTGCCTAGGTACGCCGACATCCAGATCTCGAGCGGTGTCGCCGGCAACGCGAAGGAGGAGGCAGAGGCGAACTTTGTCGGTATGTGCTCACGTCTCGTCTGCCGTGTGTCCCGTTCTCACGCCGGACGTCTCATACAGTTCCCTTCGCAAACCTCGACCTTGCGACCATCCCTGATGATGTCCAGGACGCGATTGAGACGCTTCGCGAAGCGGCTGAGGACGCAGAGACGGAGCTCTTCAACCCGGCCATCGCTGCCGCTGACGGTGCCGAGGCGGATGCGCTCCAGGTCGGGAAGATCAAGAACAAGGTCCTCAAGTTGACCGCGTTCGAGACCGTGCTGAAGATCAAGGTTCGTTCTGATGTTTCCATTCGCGCCGGGGCTGACGACATGCGTGTAGCTTGCCAAGGCACAGGCCGCCGGCGACGATACCTCGGACATCGAGTCCAAGATCACTGATGAGCAGTACGTCGCGGATACCTTCACATCTTCGGTGTACGTTTGCTGACATGGAGTCCTCAGGACGAAGCTTTCCAACAACATCAAGACGGACCAGGGCAGCGCTGGGGAGACCTCGCAGGCTGTAGTCTGAGCATTTTTGTGTGCTTTTAGCGAGCGTAAAACGGGAATACAGTGGTTTGCGCTGGTGAAGACTTGCGTGATTAGTCGAAGCATCCGAGCCCTGTGGTGAGCCCCTGACGACCCCCGGGGGTCGTCAGGGGTGTCCCGGTGATAAGTGTGCATATCCGTCCGCATCCCGTGACGCTCAGTATCACCTGTTCTATGCGGGGTCGCCGTGTAGAGCTCGAATAGACTGTAGCAAGCTGAACGCACGTCGACCGACTCAACGTCGCGAAGATGAGGCAGCCAACGGATTGCACAGCGCTGACGAAGTGATTGGGAAGGTGATCCCGCGCTCCGAGTCGCTGTCAGTGTCTGTAGGCGATCTCAGCTGCCTGCCCGACTGCAACAGCGCAGGTCTGGCGCAGGTCAGGGCCGTTGTAGGCGCTGGTTCCGGCGTCGGCATATAGTAACTATAGTGGTCGATTACTTTTCGGGACAGGCCGCATTACAACTTGTCTTACTACCCCGCTGTGACCTCGTCCAGCACACGCCCGCGGGCCCATGACCCAGCAGCGCTCGAGTCCTGCACGCCCTGGAACGCCCACAGCGATGACTACGCCCGCCATGTCGGCTCTGAGTGCGCAACAGGCTGCAGATATCGCCCGTGGCCGTTCGCGGACGCGCTATCCAAGCCACCTGACCCCAGGCGGCGTCGCCAAGAAGCCGTATCTGCATCGACGGGGCACGAGCAAGACGCTCGAGTCGCTGGAGGACCTCCTGCGCGAGGCTGGCTACAAGGAGACCCGCGTCTTCACCACCGAGACCGAGGCAGACGCGGCGCGCGACGCCGACCAGAGCGCGCAATCGTCGCGAGTCTCGGCCGTCGTGGGCTTCATCGCCAACCTCATGCCGCTCTCTACACGCTCGCTGGGCCGCGCTGCTGGGCACCAAGTCGCGAACGCAGGCGCCCCAACCATTCGCGTACGTCTTACTCCACGTGATCGGCTGTGATGCACGCGACTGATGCCAGCATATGCAGGTGGACCCTACCGACTCGTCGTCGCGCGCGTCGTCGAGGTCGTCGCAGCGCGCTCTCTCGCCGGCGTGTGCATCGACGTCGTCCAGCGTCACCATCCGTCCCAGCAGCTTCCTCCGGCCAACCACATCCTCGCCAGCGGCCGCCGGCCCGTCATCGGGTCAGCATCGCAGCCTGCACCCCAACACGCGTGCCGCCCTTCTTCGCCATGCGGCCTCCTCCCCCGCCATGGCCCGCTCAAAGTCGCACTCGACGCCACGAAGGAAACGGATGGTTACCACACCGAACAAGGTCCCTCCCGTTCCGCAGTTACCGGACACATGGATTGCCGCGCTCACCAAGGCCCTGGTCGGTTCCCCGTCCTCGCCGTTGGGTGACCGCACAAACGGTGGCAGCTCGGGCTCGTTCCCTATACGTATTCGCGTACCGAGCCCTGCCGCGGGGACCGTCTCGCGTACAAACGTGACGTGCCGTTCGACCCCAGCTTCCCGCTCCTCATCCCGCGCACCGCCTCCGTTCTTGCTCACCATCACGCGCACCGACAACGATGGCTGGTCTGCACCGTCCGCCGACGTGTCTGTTGGTGACGATTCGTTGATGGACGATGAAGACGACGACTCGGACGGCGAGGTCAACCTTGCGCGCATCCTTGCACCGCGTCCGTTAGCTCGCCGTCAGCGCAGCATCGTCAGTCTACGCCGCAATTTGCAAACAAGCATGACGCAAGCACGAGAGGAGCGCCGTAGTCGTGCAGGTCCTGGCGAACGTACCTGGGGTGCGAACGACTTTGACGACGAAGGGTTTCCCGTCGCTGCCGCTCAGCAACGACCCGGCAAGAAGCGCCGCGCGCTGCCGTCGTGGGGTCCTGAAGACGTATGAGACTGCTTAGATGCTTTTTGCTTTGTTTCTCTTCTTCCTCCATCGTCCTGCATCATCGCTAATTATCACCCATTGTCGCATTGAACTCCCACGCACCCACTCCTCTGTATCTTTGAAACGCAGAAAAGTCACAATCACTCTCCCTCTCT